AGAAACTCTTCCCTTCTACTACTGGGTGTTAAAGTAGCCAAAATAGTATGAGTTGTAAGGGGTCCCTTCCTTCCTCTGGGGTCTGCAACTGACCGGGAGAGGGTGTGAGAGCGCCCCTGCAGGCCTCCTGGCGCCCAGTCAGTGAGGCTTCCCTTTATACTGGTTTTCCCAAGAATCATCCTAAGAACCTGAGGTCAGTTGAGTAGCAATAGAAAGCAACTGCAAATTTTGAGAAGGAACCGTACTCCAATCTTTGTTTTATAATGATTCCCCTGGGCACCCCAGGAAAGATGGTTCCAGGGAAGAGAGAGATTAGAGGCAAGAGATCCAGTTAGAGGAACTCCCAAGGCCTGACCTAGACAGTGGAGAAAAGGGGGAACATCTGGAGGCACTTCGGAAGGAAAATACAAGTCTTAGCTACTCACTGGGAAAAAGAGAAAGAAAACAGAAGGCAATGAATATGGGGCTCCAAAGCCCATTGGCTTGGAAGCCAGGTGGAGAACAGCAGTTGGACCAGAAGGAGAGCTGTGGGGCTGGTGGCCCCCCAAGCATTCATCCTGGCTGTGTATCTCTCTTTCTTTCCCTACTTTGCATTCACCTGACAGCCTAACAGGAAAATACTCTGAAACCTAAACCATGCCCAGGAATGGCTGAGAGCAGGCAGAGCACAAGGGCACAAGGGGCCTGGAGACTAAGTAGTTAAGGTGAGTCTTACAGGTGCTCCATGCTTATGTGACTGGCCCCCAGTAAACACCCCAGGCCAAGGCTCACATCACATTCTGGGGAGAATTAAACACGATCCGTTGTCCTTCCCTAGGAAAGGACACCCCGAAGCTTGTGCCTGGTTTCCCTGGTTCTGGCCTCGCTGCCTCTTACCTCTGCCGATTTTCGTCTGTGTCTGTTCACTCCAATAACCCAGACCTCTGACTGGAACAGCTTCTCTGAGTTCTTCCAGGGAATCATCAAACCCGAGGGTGACCTTGGGGAACCCCATACACCCAGCATATTCTTTTGGCTCATGTTTTACATCAAGACATTGCTGTAGCAAACAAAAGCACACAAGGATATGTAGACAGCTCCGTGCCTCAGTTGTACCATATGACTCTCACTTTCTGATTTAGCTTCTTAGTCCACATCTTGTGGGACACATTTGAGGACTTATTCAGCTATTCTGATACCTGTGCAAACCTGGAAGAGGCATGTTAACACTTCTGTGTCAACCCTTTATGAATGGCAGAGAGTAGCCAGTGGATTCATACTCCCATTCTCATCGGTCAGGCAGGAAATTCCAACATGCATTCTACACAGTTATGAGGGTCCTCAGTAAAAGGGAGCCCCAGCTGCCCACAGCGCCAACCAGCTCATTCCCTCCCTGTGTTGGCTCACCCTCCTTCCGCTTTGCTCTTCTCAATTCCCCCTTCTGGTTCCTTAAGATCACTTTCCTAAGTAAACTACACGCACACAAAACCCTTGGCTTGGGCTCTGCTTTTGGGAGGAACTTGAGTGAAGGCCAAGGAAAACATTCAAATGATGACAGACACATGCTCCTGAGTCTGTGTAATATCTATCATTTCATCAACAAGCCCTTCTGGAGTAAATACCGTCATTGAAAGACCTGGTCATTGCTGGGCATGTATATGCTAGGTTACCCCAGTGCAGTCTGCAGGAGACCACGGACAGCCACACCCAAAGAGAAGACACCAATCAAAGGAAATGCAAGTTAATTCGGCACCTGCGTGCAGGCAGGTCTACGAGCATCGGCCTTTCCCTGCATCGCTGGCCCAGTAGAGCCCTTAGCCTTGTTCATGCAAAGCCCGTGTTCTTAATAAACACAGCAGCATCCACTCAATTAGCCCTTCTCTCTAGTTCCCTAACCACTGTGGTGCTGTGCACTGTATAGAACCCTAAAGCACAGACGTGAAAACCTGTCCTCTCTATCTTGCCAAAATGTTAAATATGAATCTGATCAAACCTTTAGGTATAATTACCACTTTATTGGAAATATGGAAGATAAAGCAACATGTTAGGATACAATCCATTAAATCTAGAACATGGAAAAATCACAAAGATAAATGACCTGGTTTCTTTAATAAGAAACTGACAAGAGAAAAAGAGAGCAGGAGAGATGGAATTACCAAGATTAAATGAAGCTTAGAAACACACCAAACAAATACAATACATGCATTTATTCAAACAAAGCAATCGCAAAAGGATTTTGTTTTTTCTAGTTCATCAGGGAAATTTGAAACCTCTCCATATATTTGATGATATTAAGGACTAATTTTTAATTTTTAGGAGTGATGATGGTATCGTGGTTATATTTTTTTTTTAAGAATGTATCTGTTATACATCCAGAAGCATTTATAGATGAAATAATTTCATGTCTGGGATTTGCTTTAAAATTGCCCAGCATGGGGTGAGAAAAACAAAGGGAGATAAAGTTTAGATAAATGAGATTGACAAAATTGTGATAATTGTTACAGCTGATTGACGGGTACATGGGAGTTCATTATACTTCTCTCTGTTCTCATACAGGTTGGGAAATTTTCCATATTAAAAAAAGGAAAGAAAGGGAGAGAGGGGAGGGGAGGCAGGGACTGGGAGGGAGGAAGCTGCCATTTTAACGCAATAGGAGATTTTGTTGTTTCTCTAAAGACAGCCTTTCCATAGCACTTTTGGTATTGGACTGCCCCAAATGATAACAGGAAAAATTAATAATAATAAAAACAATAATGACAATGCTCATGCAGAGGGGACAAATATCCTATTCTGCTTCACCAAATTACACCAGCAGTTGCCCTCATTCTAATCAGTGTTGCATTCTACAGGTTACGCCTCAGTTTGTACCTGGCCCCTCCCCCTCCCCCCCACCCCCTCCCACCCCCGTCCCTGAAAGGGTTGTCTGGGAGGGGTATGTGCACGCCTTTGTGCAGGCTGACCCCAACAAGCGATGGGCAGTAGAAAAGATGGGGCAGGAAGGCACGGGCTAGAGGGGATTTCTACGAGGGGGGCCTTTTCCTAAGCGCTCACGTTATCTTTCTGCCCAGGGGGCAGGGTGGGGGTGGAAGACATCCTGATTGGTAAATTCAAGGGAAATAACTGAATAACCATAGTTCAGTTCCCTCCTTTTCTCCTCTTGGGAGTGAGCTATCTCAGGGAACCAGCTCAAGGACTTGAGCCATGAGGACACAGGGAGTCACTGAAGGATTTTAAGAAATGGGGGCTTTCTACCTTTGTCTCTTACCTTCAGTCCTTTGCATCTTCTGTTCCTTCTGGAATGTTCGTCCTTTCACTCTCCACCTCTCTCTTGATTAATTACCCACATTCTTTAGGAACCAGCTTCAGTGACACTTCTTCCAGGAAGTCTTCTCTGACTGTTACAGCATTTAGAACCTACATTGTGTCCTAAGTCTGTGTTCCCTTGTGTCCCCATAGACTGCAAGTCCATGAGAATAGGGACTGTCTGTCCTGGTCATCCTTGAATTCCAGTCCCTAGCTCCCTGGCACATGACAGTACTGAATTAATCACTTTAATATGATTACTGAATAATGTCCCAACAAAATACATAAGGATGGAGCTAGGGTTAAAGGTCCTTTGCCAAGAAGGATGGACAGGAGATGACAAGGAGAGGAAGGACCAAACATGACTCCTGCCTAAGCAAACGTCCACTGACTGGAGTCTGAGTTCCTTTCCTCCTTCTGCTCCAACCACCTGAGGGCCTCTGGAAAAAGCGAGGCAGGATATTCACAGTCAGAGCAGTGTGACTACATGCAGGGAAACCCCCTACCAACACTCTGTGAGACATTAAGCTCTAGAGTCATTCTTCAGTGAGATCAGTTAATATTCCCCAGATAAAGAAGAGTAGCACATGATTTTATTATGCTAATCATCTGTAATTTGTAATTATGTGTAAGATTCACTTTAGCATGCTAAAAGGCCCAGCCTATGTGTTGTCTTTCCTCCTTCAGACCTGATGAGGTGATTTGCAAACTGCGCAACTAATTTAGCTGCAGGCCCAGCCATAAACAACATAGTAAAAGACAGGAAGGATTCCACCTTAAAGATAAGACTGCATTTTAACACCCAGGAAGTTAAGAAGTAAGATTCTTAACTTACTCTTTTGCAAATAGACAATAACTCAGCCCACCTTGGGGGCTGGGCAGGCGGCCTTGTTTAATCTGCTCCCAGACCAAGACGCAGGTATCTCCAGGAGATATCAGAGCAGAAGTTCCTTGTGTTAAGTTAATTCTAAATATTCAGGGACCATGTAACGAATCCACACCCCTAACATTTTTTTTCATATTCCCCAAAATCCTCAACTGCCTATAAAACCCCTAGACAACGCACCGCTACATGATTGTCCCCTCCTGGTGTGAGCCAGGAGCTCTGTCCTCTCACTGTATCTCTCAATAAAAGCCTCTCCCTGGCTCTCCTACCTTGGGTGTTCGCTAAGTTCATTCTTCGACTCTGCAGACAAGGGACATCAGGGACACTCCACTGGGTGGGGAGACGTGTCTGCCCAGCCCACATTCCCACCCCTCTTATTCTGATCCATTCATTCATCCCACAAACATTTGCTGACAACGTACCATGTGTCTGGCACCATTCTGGATTCTGGAGCTAGAGCAACAAAACAAAGCAGACAGAAAGCCCTGCTCCATAGAGCTGCTGGTCTAGTGGCAGGAAGAGAGACTGCTCAAATATGTACACATATATATAGTAAATAAGTGAACTATTTAGTATTTTTGGCTATTGCAAGTGTCACGGGAAAAACAGAACTGAATAAGGGAGGATTGGGCACCAGGGAAGGTTGTGATCTTACAGAGGATGGTCAGGGCAGCCTCCCTGAGTGGTGGCATCTGAGGAAGGATGGAGGTGGCATCCTGGCAAACGAACAGCTGGTGCAAAGGCCTTGGAGAGGGTGAGTACCCAGTGGTTCTGATAGATCACAGAGGCCAGTGTGGCTCAGGGGGGGCACAATGAGCGGGAGAGCTGGGAGAGGCAACGGCCAGGTCAGTAGCCCGGGAACTATTAGGATTTGCACCTGCTCCAGGTGGAACAATGGGAGCCTCTGGAATGTGTAGAGAGAGCAGTGACATGTCTGCCTTGCAGTTTACAGGAAAACCGTGCCCGCTGTGTTGAGAACAGCCAGGGAGAGCGAAGGTTGAGGCAGGGGCTGGCTGGAGGCTGACGCAAGCATCTGGGCAGGAGGTGGTGGCGGGTGGGAGGGTAGCGGCGCTGGGCACAGAACCAGCAGGATTTCCTGCTGGATCAGATGTGGAGTGTGAAGCTGCAGAGATATTCAAGAGGAGACCAAACAACTGAAGGACGGAGGTGCTGGTAACTGAAATGGGGAACCTGTGGGTGAAGTGGGCTTGGGGGAGATCTGGAGTATAGCTGTGGACTGGTTAAACCCGCGTTTCTGGCTCCTCAGGACCTCTTCCTCTGCCCGTGTGGCCCTGGAGGGTTCGGTGCATCACAGTGAGGAGCAGCGTAGTCATATGACCCCAGCTGACAAAACTTCAGTTGCTGACTCAGAGACTTGAGTCCAGCCCAACGTGGCCGTCAGTCTTGGGGCTGCTGTGCAGACAGAAGAGTCCTCTTCTTATGAGATGTCTAAGCAGGGAGTCCAGGAGCTCAGGGCTGACAGGGCTGCCCAGCCTGACCTGTAGAAAGACCCTGCTGTGAAATGAAATCAAGAGGCAAGCAGAACAAAGAGCGGAAAAGAGGGTTTATTTATTACGTCTCTCACCCTGCCCCTGGACCCGGACATACTGGAGGTCCACAAATCCCCATTCACCACAGCGCCAATCACCCACTCATTGCCTCTCAGCTTCAAAATCAGTGTTCATTTCCAGCTCTGCAGAAATGGCCTGGATCCTCGGAGGACTTGCCCTTAGCCAGGTGCTGGAACACGAAGCTTTGTCAGCAGAGGGCGCAGGAGAGACGCTATGGAGAGAGGTGACATTTTCCCCTGCCTCCAGGGTGCCTTAGGCAGGTGCCCATGGCCACACAGCTCCCTGGAGCCCAGCTCCTAAGGCCAGGGGACTTCCCAGCACCAGGCTCCGGCAGGGCACGGCGGCCAGCAGCAAGCCCGGCAGGCCCCTCAAGTAGGGTGCTGCAGAGTCCCTGGTGGGACACCTCCCCACAAACAGCTTTCCCTTGGCTCCATAGAAAGCAGATTCCTCACAAGTTCCAGAGGGCATATTTCCAGCATGTTCTGCTGGCATGGCACACTACCACTTCTCTGCCACTCAGCGAGTCACAGCCGTGCCATGCTGATGCAGTCTGGACCTCAGCCCTGGGAGGCGGTCTTCCTTGGCCACCCTCTCCACGCAAGGGGGTGAACGCTGCTCTGCACAGCACCTCTCCCTATGGCCTTGCTCTTCTCAGGCCGATTCCCTTACTCCTTCACTCAGATCCCTTGTCACAACAAGGGCTTCTTTATGTCAGACTTGCCCCGTTCATACATACACACTGGTTTTCTTCTCTCCTGACTGTATCCTGATTAATACAACTTATCAACAACATGATAAATCCCCTCTGTGCTTAAGCTACTTTTTTTTAAAATTCACCTGTGATCACGGTAGTAGAAAAAAATGCAGAGGATCCCATGCCCAAAATGCTCTAAAGTGCTTCTCAAATCTTAGTGTCATATGAATGACCTGGGAAATGTGTATATACACATGTTATATATATCTATAGGTGTAGATATGTAGTAGATGATACATATGTGTATGTATTTTTTTCATTGAGATATAATTGACATATCATATTGTGTTCATTTCAGGTGTACAACATAATGATTCAACCAATATTTGTATATGTTGTGAAATGACCACAATAAGTCTAGTTAAAAACCATCATTAGCAGTTACAATTTTTTTCTTGTAATGAGAACTTTTAAGGTCTACTCCCTTAGCAACTTTCAAATATACACTATGATGTTGTTAACTATAGTAGCCATGCTGTACATTATTTCCTAGGACGTATTTATTCTATAACTGGAAGTTAGTACCTTTTGACCCCCTTCATTTCACCCCCCACCTCCCATCTTTTTCTCCATCCCTTTCAACTGAGTCCAGACTGATGCATGAGTAGAGAAATAACTCAGAGTGCTTTAGCACTGCTGAGCCTGGACACTGTGAGAGTTCAGAGGAGGATTCTCAATCCTCCCAGAGATGATGCCTAAGCCGAACTTCAAAGGTCCACCACCCACTTCCCCTGTTTCCCACCTTACCCGTTTACAGCAGGAACCCCAGGGCCACGAGGCTGAGCTGAGAGGATGGTGCTCCAGAACACTTCCCCAGAGCTCTTGAGTAGAAGTCCCTGCCCACTTGGAGTCTCCCGTGACCTCTCCTAGGCACTTAATCCTCCCCAGCTTGCATCCTAGCCACCTGCTCGCCTGGCTTAGGGGCAGAGATGGGGAGTATGCACCAGGTATGCTCCCAGTATGCAGGCTCCCGCCTCCTCTCCCAGGCACAGAAACAAACTGCCCTGTCAGCCTCCCTTGCAGTAGATGTGCCCACATGATGGGTCTGGGCCAGCAATGTGAGCCCATGAGGGTTCTATTTCTGAGCTAACCCACTGCGACCCCCCTTTTGTGCATCACACAGTCCTGACTCCCTTCCCAGTCCCCAAGTTGAATGGAGAGGACTCTGAGGACCCACAGAAACCAGGAGCCATCAGGAAGAACGAGGCTGGGTCCCTGCCCTGCCACAGTCTGCATCAGAAAGGGGGGTGAGTGTGAAATGAAGATGTGCTGTGTTAAGCAACTGAGATTTCGGGATATCTCTGTTCAGCTGCCTGCATTATCTGCTACTGCTATGCCTTTATTCCTCCACTAGCTATGAGACACTCAAGAGATGACTAACTTATTCATCACTGGCTGCAGTGCGTACTCAGCAAATGTTTTCTTGGTGACCCTAGGCATCTGCCTAATTCTCAGTCTTTTGAAATTTAAATAAAATTAACTTGAGCCCCACATCTATGGTGATTTCTCCAAGGACTTGGGAGAAGAGATAGGACAGCAAAAGAGAAGAGTAGCTTTTATTTTCCTCTTGTCTCTATTTGAAATCCTCTTTCCCCAGCTGTGACCATAGTTTCCTTCTCTTGATTTGTCCAAAGAAACATACTTGCATTTGGCATGTGAGTTTCTTTGCAGAATATTTGAATATTTGAGGAGAGACTCAAGGAGTGATTGCACCAGCACAATGCAGATTAATGTACTGTCCTAAAGTTGCTTGGGAGGAAGACATCAGTAGGAATGGTGGAGTAAGGACTTCCAAAATTCTACTCTTCCAGGGAAGCAAGGAGAATACTGGCCAAAAATTATCAAAATCAACTTTTTTCAGAACTCTGGAAATTAACCAAAGGCTCACAACAATCTGGGAATATTTATTTAAGAAAAATGGCTGAATCCATTTTTTAAGAACAGGAGCCACGTTGGCACTGTACATTGCCCTGTTCCCATCTTCCCTTTCCAGCTCCACAGCAGGCCTGAAAGCCAACAGCCCTAAACCACAGTGCGAACTGGCAGCCCACACGCCACTGCGGGCAGAGAAGAGGGCCAAGTTCGTGCACAGACCAGCTCTCTAAGAATCGTCACTGGGCATTCATGAGGTGCGTTTCTACTTGACCTGACTCAGGGCTTGCCCAATGGGAGGAGGCTCATTCCCAGGGCATTTGTGGAAACATTCCATGGCAATTCACAACAGCTGCCTGAGGTGGTGATAACACTTGGGGGAAACAGCAGGCTGTCAAAATAACTTAAAAGGAAAAGCAGGGGGATGAGATGTTCATAGATGGCTTTAAAAGTTCTGACACATTCCTGGGAATCTGAAAGACCACACATGTGTGGGGCTGTGCTCATGCCCAGAAAAGACCTCAGAAGGACCTAGGCATTCAACTCTGCTGACCTTGAGGTTTTGTGCAAGCAGGAAGTGTCGGCAAAGGCAGAGTTGTCTGCCATGTGCATGGGTGTTGAAGGTTTGTGTCCTAACACACACTTAGGTCTGGAAGATTACTGGTTCCAGGCATTTCAGGAAATGACTGTTCAGTTATTAGCTGACAGCTAAGCTAGCCAAGCAGAGGCTTCAGTGGCCACAGATAACAACTAATAGAAGATCCTCACAACAGCCAAGCTTTGCTAATAGCACCAGGCCAGCTCCTGGGTATCACAGATGACTTTTCTCTTTCCCAATAGCATCAAGTACTCAGTCTGTGTTCACTTAACCACAAATGTTTCCAAGTGTGTTTTTACAGGTGGTATGTTCAAATTGGATCTAAGGTCCACACGTTACAGTGGGTTGATATGTCTCTGCAGTCTCTTAATGTGTCACAGTTCTTCCTCTTTTCCCCCAAAACTGGGATGGGCTGATTGCATTCTCATGCTGTCAGGCCATGTTCCAGGACTTCACAGGCATTATGAGATTTAATCTTCACGAAATACAATCATTATTATAGCCTATTCCCATAAGCCAAATTCTCAGTGCAGGCCATGGCAGAGCAGGCCACATCCCGGGCTGCAGTAACTCAGATACCACTTGCATACTTGCCTGTGCAGTAAGTACTACCCCCCACCCCCACTGACAGGGGGACAAACTGAGGTGCAGGAAGGTTAAGCACCAGGTCCACTAAGCACTCTGCACCTCTTAGCTGGCTCTGCATCAGCAGTGTCAGCACCAACTCTACTTTCTGACAAGCTGTTCTTCTCCCCTAAGCTCAGCAAAGGGAAAATCTCAGAATAGAAATCTCGTCTCCAAGGCACAAGGGGCCACTCTTGTTTTTTTTTTTCTAATTAATGTTCTTCCCCCTCTATCAAACACAGAAGGGAATCCATCTGATTCTCTGCCTTCCAGAAACTCATGTTATGACTAGGAAGACAGAGAACTTCTCAGATACCTCAAATGGGAAGCAGGTGTTGAAAAACCCAGCATATAGTAGCTTTCAGTAAATAAAGATGGGTGGATGAGTAATATCAACTAAGGAGGCAGAAGTTATTTGTGGATGGAGACATAGGAGAACATCATAGAAGAAATGATGTTTGCTAGGTCTGGCAGGTACACGAAGTGAAGTACAGTAAATAGATTTATTACTAAGTAAACACAAGGTAGAGAACAAGAGAACATTTTGTTTGGGACCTGTGGGCCTGTCATTTCACATTTGGCCGCCAGAGGGAAGTATAACACACATTGGCATTTAGGGGAAGAAAGTTGGTTTGGGTTTGGGTTTTTTCTGCAACAGGCCCAGCCAATAGTAAGGTAACACAAGTTTCTAGCTTCTGGGGACTTGGCTTGTTCTGAGCATTCCTAATGCCCCTACACATCAAAGGGTCTTAGCTGAATGTGAGGCTGTGATATTTGTATGGAGGGAATGACAGGATTTTTGTCTAAGTCTGACCTCAGCACCCAGCTCCTGCACTTACTAGGGATGACCTTGGAAAGTTACCTCACCGCCCCGTGCCTCGGTTTCTTCACCTCTGTAAAGTGAAGATGATAATCATAATACCCATATCACTAGGTTTTGGAAAACTCAATTACTTAATGCTTCTAAAGTCCTGGCATATAGTAAGCACCTCACAACATGTCAGTTGTTATTATGAATACTGCATTATTATAGCAACAGGACTATTTTGGTGTGTGTTTCCTTAGCACAACTGTCAACTCTGAGTCAGGGATGGTGACTGTGCCCCCCTCTTCCTAAGTGCCCAACTCCTTTCACAGGGCATGGCACACCCTGTGATGATCAGTCGCAGCTGAAAACCAGCAGACCTTGGATCCTTGCTGGAAGGTGCCCAGGACATGTTTCTCTTTCCCCCTCCTTTTAATTCACTTACTGTTAACATGCTCTTTGCAAATTCCCTTGTTTTTCAAAAGGAGCCTTCACAAGAGTGGGCTGAACCCAGCCAGTAGGAGACAGCTCTGCAGAATTTAAACAGATGCTTTTCCTTTCAGGTTATTTCTGCTCCTCCCACCCCCTCGCAAACAGCATCACTTCATCTCAGGGGCCCATGGAAAAGCTTTCTCTGAGAGGAATGTGATGCATGTCCCATGGAACTGCCAGTATTGCAGCCGACTTCCAAGGAAAATTGCCTCTATCCATCAAAGCAGCCCAGAACCAGACGTGCATTAGTGAGGAAGACCCCGAGCCAGCCTCTCCCGAGGGTCTTCTCAGAGGCAGTGGGAAGAAAGCCCATTGCTGGAACAAAATAAAGTGAGAGAAACAAGGACAGATGAGAAGCACCACCCTGAATGGGTAGATATTCCCCGGCTCAGGCCCTTTGCCACCTTCACTGAGCCCACGCCAGACGTGGCTCCCAGGCCAGGCAAGGAGTTTTCCAACCACTTCTCCCTGAGTGGGAGCCTGGAAGCCGCATGAGCACAGCTGTGCAGTTGCCGCTCCTGCCGGGGGACCCACCCAGGCCCATGTGCCTCGCCTCCTGGCCGCGCATCCTGAGAGCCGACCTGAGGCCGGGGGCAGACCCCACCCCCACCCCTCTCCAGGGAGACTGATGGTGAAGAACACAGCCACCCAAACTCTCCTGCAGCACCCATTCAGACACCTCCTCTGGGTGACAGGAGAACCCAGTTACTCTGGAAATCAGGAGATACCAGAAGCTCATGAGCTTCAGTCTTGCACGGAATTTCTGACCTTTGTGAGCACTGCAGACATCCTGCACTGAGCCCCTGGCTGCACAGCCGGAATCTCTCACTGAGCCTCATGGCTGCTCAGCTTCACCTTTACAGGTGACTAGCTGGGGCTCCGAGGGGCTGAGGGAGTCCCCAGGGCTACCTGGCCAGCCCCTGCCCTGGCTCCCCCCTCTGAGCCTGAGGCCTCTTCTGTGCAACGGGAAGAGTGCTGCCTGCCCTGGGCATGGCCGAGGATGGTGCCGACAACCCCCAGAGAGCATCTAGCTGCACACACCAGTTCCCACACAGTAGGAGTTTGGAAAAGGCCCTGTCTTTCCTGCTCACTCCAGCCCACGTGGCTGCAGTGTGGTACACACGCTTCTGTTTTGTGCTGGCCCCTCCTCAGCCCCGCCACCAGGCCAGACAGTGTTCCCTCCCTCCCCTCTGCAGTCAGAACTCAGACCCAGTGGGCACATAATTCATATTTCCAGGACTGAACCAAATTCACTGGCCCTGCCATGAATGGGGAAGGTGGTGAGATCAAAATCCTTTTGCTGAGACTTAGAATAAGCCATAACCCCTGAGTCTCCTTAAGCCCAGCAGAAAAATGAAAAGATGAAGCCAAGAAGCTCCTTCTCCCAAAGCCGTCAGTGTATCCAGTGCCTTATTATTCCAGCAGCCCACTTACATGGTGTTTGGGCGAAAAATTTGGAAGAAAGCTGTGAGCCCCTGCGGGGCACCTCATGAGCGAGCAGAGAACATAAGTGATCAAATGACTTCAAGAGGTGAGTTCCCCAGTTGGAAGATAATGAAAGCCAAGTGTTTCCCGCGGCCACCCAGTAGAACAGCTGGGAGGCTAGGAGTGGTGGTCCTGGTCCTCACGTCCCCAGCCTCACCTTCATTCAGGAAGCAGTGTGGGGCTGGTTGTGTGCCCAAGGCCCTGGGCTCAGAGCTGTGGGGAAGCAGGGCCTGACACGGCTGGAGGGGCGTGCACCTGGAGCCTGGCGTCTGGCTGTGAATTACAGCCCTGCCACCTGGAGTAGCATGACCTTGGACAAGTCAGTCCAACCCTCAGGGCTGCTTCCTTCTTTGACAAGCAAGTTGGGAGAATTCAGCGAGATGGTCACATGTTCCCTGTCATATGGTCCCACTGTAGCAGAAGGTGGTCAGATGACATCTGTTCTCAGCTCTGTTCTGCAGAACAATCACATTCCCAGAGGCAGCAGAGGATACCAAATGGGTTTGCTGGGCTGACTGGATACATATGAGCATTCTGTCAAGGCATTTATGCAGAAAAAGGAGACCCTCTGTTATAGAGGATGTTAGCTTCCTAGTCTGCTTTCTCTGACCATTTGTCCCTTGTCTTGTCTTCACGTTCAGGTTTATCAAACTTAGTCCAGGTTAAACAGAGAGGGCTCAGGTTAACTAAGGGAGCTCTTTCATTCAGAAATACAAAAGATAGCAACAAAAACTATGGAGAATCAGAGTGTGATGAACCATACACAGTTTGTAAGCCAATTAACATAGTATTTTCAGAAGTATTCAGGCAAACTTTTGCAATAAAATGAGCATGCGTGTGAGATTCCCACCAGCCCCTTCTCCCTAAGGCATGGGAAAAGCCCCAGTTGAGCGCGGCAAGGAGAAAGTTGGCTGCCCTGTTTCTGCCCATCTCCTTTTCTTCATGCAGGGGGACTGGGTGGAGTGTTCATGTTCCCTGGGGCAGCACTGTGGTGAGGCAGCCTGGGGACCAGAAAGAACTTGAATGTTGGAGTTACTCAAAACAGGGTTTAAAACCCAGATCCTGTCTTTGAAGTTGTGTGGTTCAACTTGAAGAGGTTATCTCATCTGTAATGTGGACATAACCATATGTAGCTCATATGGCTGTAGAGGGAATTCAAGGTCCTATGCGTAAAGCACGCAACATGTAAACATTCTCATTATGTGGTCAGTGTTCTTATTGTCTGTTCATGGAGAAGCCTTCCACAGACAGTCACAAATCTGACTTTGTAGCCCATGGAGAGTTCAAACCACATACCCTGACACTGAAGCACAAATCAAAATGCCAATTTATTCATTTGCATGGAGAATCACTGCCACGATGTATTAGTTTCCCACTGCTGCTGCAACATATCACCACAAACTTCGTGGCTTAAAACAACACGCATGTATTACCTTACAGTTCAGGGGGCTGGAAGTCTGGCGGGAGTCTCACTAGGCTAAAAGCAAGCGTCCCTTTGGAGGCTTTGGCACAGAATCCGTCTGCACTTGTTTCCAGCTCCTGCAGGCCACTGCGTTCCTTGGCTTGTCCTCTTCCTACACCTTCAAAGCCAGCAACACAGAAGTGAGACCTCCTACCACATCACTGTGACCTCACTCTTCCTCGGCCTCCCTCTTCCACTTTTAACAACCTAGATGTCACTGAGCCCACCCAGACAATCCAGGATAATCCCCCTATTTTAAAATCAGCTGATTAGTGACCTTAATATCATCATTTGCCATCTTAATTCCCCTTTGCCATGAAACATAACACATTCACAGGTTCTAGGAATTAGGACATGGACATCTTTGGGACCAGTATTCTCTCTACCACACACGGGAACAAGACTACTTGAGTCCACATTACACCTTGTTTCCCTACAGTCAGGCCAACCGAACAGGCTTGGTGAACATGGAACTGAAACCACAAGGCATCAGGCTGGCCCAGTCCAGGTGTCCACCTCCACCATGGGCTTGACTTGACCAACAGACCCAGATGCCGGTGTGTCTCCTTCCCTCGATGAATGTGAGGTTGATGCCAGCAGCATCTGCTGCTGCAACTCTCTTTTCCACTCTCCCAAGGCCGAGCCACCACCACCACCACCACCACCAGCCAGTGCTGCCTGCCGTGGACACACTTCCTTTACATAATATAAGATCTTAGTTTCCCTGAGTGTGTTCACATTTAAATGGCCATATTTTGCATTCTTTTGTGATCCATTATGTGTGGGCTTTCTAGTTGAATTCTCAAAGTGTAAACTTATTTTCGAGTTCTTAGGACTCATCTGTGTGCGGCAAGTGCTGGCAATGCCACGGATGTGTTTCTGTAGGTACTCACGGGAGCCTTCTGTGTCAAACACAGTGATACCTGGAGGGTGAATCAGGCACATCCCCACCTCTCAGAGTTCACCAGATTCTGAGCTAAATAAGGCCTGTGCAATGTGGATATGAGGTATCGCATGCCAAGACCTTCAAGAGGGGAGCAACGCCTGTAAGCTGGGAAGAGGACCCAGAGCTGAGACATGGCCATTTCAACACTAATTGAATCATTTGACTGTGGAAGGCTTTGCACCCTACCCATTTTTATCATGCCCAGACTTTGTCTGCCAGCAATTTTCCCTTAATTTTGAATACTAATGCAAAGGAAAAGAACAAGTCGTTTGTTCTTATGATCACACAATAGGTATGAAACCATATGGTATGTTTCCCAGTTGCCAAGATTCTTAACTATGTTCTTTCTTTATGTTCTGCATAATGATGAGTGCCTGTTGTGTTTTTTAGGATCACTAGGTAGGTGTTATCTTTTATCAGGTACCAACAACAGCTGTCATTTGCCAGGTGCTTCCTTCTTGCCAGGACCTGTGCCCAGAATTTTCCACTTGTCCCATCACTCAGTCCTCACAACAACCCCAGGAGGTAAGTATTATTATTATTGTGATTTTATAAATGAGGCACTGGCAGCTCAGGGAGGTTCAGTAAGTTGCCAAGATCACACCGCAGCATCACACCGCAGCATCACACCGCAGCATCGCACCGCTGGTGAAGCCGGATCTGAACCCAGCTAATATGTCATCAGAGCCTATGAGCTTAAGGGCTTTGTGGCTTCCATGCATCATATGCCCTTAAATAAAGGGTCACAGAGGATAAACTGCAATAAGGACCCATGGGAAGGGATGGCCACTTGGAGGAAGAGGCTTATAGAATAGTAGGATTTGGACAGGAGGATTTGTACTCCAAGCAGACGAGACAGTAAACTGAATCTTATTTTACTTGTGATAAATTATACATAACGTAAAATTTACCATGTTAACCATGTTTAAGGCACAGTTCAGGGCAGTAAGTGCATTCACGCTGCTGTGCAACCACCTCCCACCCATCTGCAGGTCTCTTCTCATCTTTCCACCGAAACTCTGTCCCCATTAAACCACAACTCCTCATTTCCCTCTCCCCCCACTTCTGGCACCCACCATTCTACAGTCTGTCCCTATGAACTTGACTACCCTAGGGGCCTCGTGTAATGTGGAAGCATACAGTGTTTGCCCTTTTGAGACTGGCTTATTTCACTTAGCATACTGTCCTCACGGTTTATCCACATTGTAGCACAGGTCAGAATACTTGAGTCCATGTAACCAGAATTTAACATCTGTCAGAATTTTCTTCCTTTTTAAGGCTGAATATGCATTGTATGTATATACTTCATTTTGTTTATCTATTCATCAATCAATGAGCACTTGGGTGGTTTCCACCTTTTGGCTATTGTGAATAATGCTTTATGAACATGGGTGTGCAATTATCTCTTCAAGAACCTGCTTTCTATTCTCTTTGGTATATACCCAGAAGTAGAATTGCTGGATCTTACAGTAATTCTATGCTTAATTTTTTGAGGAATCACCCACCCTAGTTTACATAACAGCTGCATCATTTTATATTCCTGCCAACAGTGCACAAGGATTCCAATGTCTTCACATCCTTGTGAACAGTTGTTATTTTCTGTGTTTTTTAATAGTAACCATCCTAATGGGTGTAAGTTGGTTCTGATATGCATTTTCCTAAGGATTACTGATGTTGAGCACCTATTCATACACTCCTTAGCCATTAGTAATCATAACCTTAATATCATTACCCACGTTAATAATGAAAATACTGACTAGACCCAAGCTCTCCTGCAAGGCTGTTTTAAGGATTAAATAAGAAAATAGACTCTGAAAAACTAACATGGCACCTGGCAAAGAATGGACATGCAGTAAATGGTAACTCTTGTTACGTATTGACTCTATAGTGCTACATAACAAATCACCTCAACTCCGCAGCTAAAAACTACAATCACATAGTATTGCTCACGAACGTCTGGTTCTGCTCTTGACTGAACTCACTCATGCATCTAAGGCCAGCTCCAAGCTGGATAGGCCACTGCTGACTTTGACTGGGCTCTTTCATGTGTTTGGAGTAGGACTGGCTCGAAACTGGTCTAAGCTTCAGCTGGGACAACTCAGCACTTCTTCACCTGTCTCTCACTTCCCTCCAGTAGTTTAGCCCAGGCACAGCCTCATAGTAGTGCCAGGGGCCCAACAGAAACATCCAAGTCCAAGCTTCTGTTTGTGTCAAGTTGACTGTGGTCTCACTGGCCAAAACAAATGTGATAGGCAGGATTCTAAGATGAGCTCCAGTGAGTCATACCCTTGAATAATCCCCCATCTTGGATACAGGAGGAACGTGTGACTTGCTTCTGGTCGACAGAATAGGGCTTACATGGGAGGACAGACACTCTCGTGATTCTGTTCTGTGATGTAAGACTCCATCTTAGCAGATTGGCACCAGATAACAGCCAGCAAGAAAATGGGGACCTCTGTCTTACAATTGCAAAGAATAAATTCTGCCAGTAAACTTGTGAACTTTGAAGAGGAACCTGAGCTACATAAAGGAAAACGGCCCAGCAGTTCCTTGACTGAAGCCTTGTGAGACCCGAAGTAAAGGACCCATCTAAGCCATGACCAGATTCCTGCCCCACAGAAACTGTGAGATAATTAATGTCTGTCCTTTTAGGCTGCTAGGTTATACTAATATGTTATGCAACACAGGGATCTAATACAGCAAGTCACATAGCCGATCCAGAATCAGCATGGGAGTCAGCATCACCAAAGGGTGGGATACAGAGAGGCATGAAGAACGGAGCCATTGACACACTCAACCCATCACATTCACCAAGTACCAGGAGAGGCTGGTCCCATACTGGCAGCACAATCTCAAAGTGACTGCACCACCATGAGCATGTGCTCTACAAGATTGTTTCTGACTTCCTTTCCCTCATTTTCAGAGTTTGTACAACCTGCCCCTGCTAACAATTGCAGATTCAAAAAATCAGTGAGCTTAGAAATCAGACCAGTGTACTGGATAAGAGCAAGAATTCTAGAGCCAGATATTGTGGCTTTAAGTCCCAGCTTCAAGACCTATCATCTGTGTGACCCTGGACAAGTTACTCAACCTCCCTGTGCCTTAATGACATCAATGAAAAAAGAATAACAATATTATCTTAGGGCTGTTGTGGAAATTACATAAGTCAATATACATAAAGCACTTAAAGCATAAATCTCATAATATGATCTAAGTGTTTGCCACATTAATCTAGCTGTTTTCAAATCATTAGTCATCTTAAATATCTCAATCATTTCAACAAAACACTCAAGCAAGGAGAAACTCTATTCCCTGATGCTGTGGATAAATACACATTTTCTTTATGTGCTTCAAAACTCTTATATATACAAGACATACAGAAAAAATGCATAACTGAAATATTTGCTGTAAAACATATCACCAATAACATGTCCTATAGAGAAGAACAAGAAATAAGTAAGAAATGACATCATTTTCCCAGTAAATTCCTCTTGGAACTGCACACTTCATTTAATAATCCTACTTTATTGAGATTTCTTCTTCCTTTTGGAACTTACCATGGGGACTTACTAACAAATTCTTGTTCTTGCCTTTTTATTTCCAATGAACATATTATCTAAAGCATAAATTTTATAATGCTTGTAACAGAGTGGGGCTTTACACATCAAGGTGGGAGCACTGGATTTTTCCTTCGTCAGGAGGACAAGCAGTGCCCTTGGGGACAGGGGACCTGGAGTCAGGCCCTGGTTCTGTCACTCATTATGGGAGGACCCCTGGAGGTGTGGCCTGAGCTGCTGGGGTTTCAGTTTCCCTGATAACATGAACAATCCTGCTTCACAAAATGGAAATGAGGACAGAGGAAGAAAAGGATGCAAAGGGGTTTTTTAAACGCGGCTTGAAATACACTAGTATGTCAGTCAGGGTCCCGTCAGGAGACAGGGCCTCCACTTCCCAGGAAGAGAGCTGACATAAAGAACCAGTAGCCAGGTATGGGAGGGCTGGAAAGGGAAAAGAGACACTGTGAAAGTGCAGGGTGACAACTGCCAAGCCAGACCTGGGAAGCGGGAGGAGTTGGATTACTGACACCGAGAAGCTTGAGTGGGGGCCCCACGACGCCGGGACAGAGCTGTCTGAGGGAGGGGCTCCGCTGGCTGGTGCTGGTCTCTGTAGGG